TTATTATATTTACAAATACAAATAACTAAATAGCTAATAAGATAACATAATTATAAGAAAACACAAATACTAAATTTAAAATTATATTTTAAATAATAAAATTATGTTACCCAATTAATTTTTTTGTTTTAAATTATTTTAAAACTAAACTAAATTATTAATACAGACTCGCGCGTAGCGCGAGTATAAAATCTAGTATTATTAGAGAGTTAATGTAACATAACTTTCTAGTAATAGTCCATTTTTTTAAAATCACACATGAAATCAAGTCATGACTTCTGTTTTAATATATAAGATTGTTAGAAATCTCTGATCCAATATATATACCCCTAATATAGATTTATGTAAGGTTGCTTTCTTACACTTTTTTTTGTCATCAACTCAATTCCTTAACATGTGAACATTTTCATAAGATATAACAATTTAACTGTTTAGCTAGATAAGTTTTTCTTTTCTTAAAGAATCTCCTTTATGTAAAAAAAACTTAATTTATTTATAACAGAATCTTAACTATTAACGAGAAAATCAAATAATTACAGAGCGATGATCATATGTTAATAACTCAAATGATGATTAAAAAAAAGAGTAATAGCAGTATCCCTCAAAAGACCAAAACACCATCTCTCTCACAATAAAGACAACATCTCTCTTTTAATGTCTCCCTCCTCTCTATCTCTCTCTCTCATTCTCCTTCTTGAGAAGAGACTCTCAAACACTCTCTCAATCAATCAATGGAGTTTCATCTCGAACACCCTCTCTCACATTCTTCTTCATCTTGTATCCACAACAACTTCAACGACCAAGAAACAAAAGATGATGATGATGCTTTACCACCACACTCTCTCTTCCTCGTCGAGCAACAACACATGCCTTCTCCTCATTACTTCCATACCCTTAAGTCCTCTTCTTCTCTTCTCTCTAATCGAAACCACGCCATTTCTTCAATCTTTCAGGTCTTTTTTTAACAAACTTTTACTGAATCATTATCTTGAAGAAAACTTAACTAATACCCTTTTTGATGTTTACTAACTTTTTGCAGTATTCAAGAAAATTCGACGACCAATCTCTGACGTATCTTGCTGTGAATTATCTAGACAGGTTCTTGTCCAGTGAAGATATGATGCTGGTAAGAAAAAAAACAGAACATGTCCTTTTGTTTCATCTGAGATTTGACTTTGTTTTTTAAAAATAATTATTGTTGTTTCTTTGACAGCAATCAAAGCCTTGGATTCTCAAGCTTATCTCTCTTTCTTGTGTCTCTTTGTCTGCTAAAATGAGAAAGCCAGAGATATCTGTCTGTGATCTTCCTGTAAGAGACCTTACTAAATTTTTATTACATTGTGGAATGTGTTTGTGTCGGGTTTTAGGGGATTACATGATATTAAAAAAAAAGAAAAAAAAAAGAATGTGTTTGTGTCTGAACAATTTGAATTTTACAGGTGGAGGGTGAGATGTTTGATGCTCAGATGATAGAGAGAATGGAGAATGTGATTTTAGGAGCTCTTAAATGGCGAATGCGCTCTGTTACTCCTTTCTCCTTCCTCTCCTTCTTCCTTGGCTGTCTCTTTGAGCTCAAAGAAGGCCATTCAGTACTAAAACATTCACTCAAATCTCAAGCTACTGATCTCACTTTCAATCTTCAACATGGTAAAACAATTGAATGTTTCACAACTTCTTCAATGAGTCTACTAATCTAAAATATCTTTTGAAAAAAATGCTGGCAGATATCAAGTTCCTGGAGTTTAAACCATCAGTGATTGCAGCAGCTGCACTTCTCTTTGCTTCTTCTGAGCTCTGTCCTCAACAGTTTTCAAGTTTCAGTAACAGAATCTGCCAATGCACATATGTAAATAAGGTAAAAAAAAAGTTGTAATCATCTCAACTTTGTTTTAAAACTGCGCGCGATATTGAGAAGTTTTTGGTTACAGGATGAGTTAATGGAGTGTTACAAAGCAATGCAAGAGAGAGATGTAGTTGAAGACAACGAAGGAAGCAATGACACAGCAGTAAATGTGCTTGACCAGCAATTCTCTAGCTGTGAAGAAAGTGCAATCACAGCTTCTTCACCTAAGAGGAGGAAAACTATTACTACTAGTACTACTACTCGTCTATCTTAAGCTGAGAATGTGGTCTAATGTTCAGACATAATCCCCAACCAATGCAATCACTTCAAACACACTTATGATGGTCCCCTTTTGAAAGAGACACTTTGCTCTTCCTTTCTTCTTCCCTGCTTCAAAATAAGCCATTACTCTCTTCATGGAAGACAAGAGAGTGATGAATGATCAAACACCATATCTCATTGCTCCTTCCTTTGGACCACATCACAAAGCTCAAAAAAGAAAAAGAAAAAAATCAATCAATCTGTGTTATTTCTATCTACCATTTTTTGTTTTTTGGGTGTTAAAATATTTCTACCTACCATCATGTTCTGTATTTACAGTTTTGGTTTCTGCAGTTAAGTTGTTTCACTTGAAGTGGAATAATCAATAAATATGGTTTCTTATGTAGTCTATAACCTATGCTTTTTTTATGTAGTCTATAACCTATGCTTTTTATGTAGTCTATAACCTATGCTTATGTTACATACTAGATGGAACACTAATGTGGTCACGAGAAGAAAATGAGTGATAAAACTATTGAATTTAATTTTCAGGCATAAGATTTTGTCTTATGAGACTTCGTTATCTGAGTTATATGGATCCAGTTGCCAGGATCTCTGTTGCAGACAGAGTATGATACTCTTTGGACCACTTCACAGTTCTGAATCATTCAATGGCCTTTTGTTCTTACTGTAAGGTAACAAAACAATTAGGAGGAATGACCATTTACCCAGTTTACTGGAATCAAAATTATACCAAAAACCGAACTGAAAACCGGATTGGACTCTAGACAAGAAGAGATTTAAAGTCTCTTTGCAATAGACTGTGCTGAAAAGAATGTATAACATGGTTTCCAATTTCAAACATTATTGAGAAGCTGGAAGAAAGAAACAAAGCTTCTCTGATGTAACTTTTAATGCACAACAACAAAACATAAGGAAGAAACATGAAGAAAGGGAACTCTTATAGTGAAGAAAGAAATCATCTTCTTCATCCTTACCTCTCAAAGGAAATCTCAGATAGGTCCAAGATTCCCTTCGCTTCGACTTCTACGCATAGAGAGCTCTGATCTCAAAGTAGCCAATCTATCACCATTTGCAACGTAGTAATTCTCGTAAGCAGCTGGTGATACTTTGTGTCCCACAGGGGGAAGACGGCTGCTGCTTCTCTCCTTTGATGATCTTTTCTGCACACTTGAAGAAGCTTTACGAGTTGTGGATGAACCGGGTTTGTGGGTGCTCGATGCACCATGGCTACTCTTCCGGCTGTTGTTTTTCAGCTCTGATCTGAGACCTCGTTCCAGCTGAAGCGTGCTTGTCCCAAGCCTAGCATCTTTCGCGCCTTGTCTGTTATAGTACACCAAATGTGGGAGAAGTCCCAAAAGGTACTTTCTCAGTTGTTCATCGCCAACGTTCTTCTGCGCAGGGTTGCCTTCCAAGCTTATAGCCTGGAGAGAACTGTAATTTGCAGCGAGCAGGCCTAGAGATTTGGTGGTTGAAAACTTATTGAAGCGTAAATCCAAGACCGTCAGCTTCAGGAGACGATGAAGACCCTCGATTTCACTGATCTTATTCCCAGCTAGGTATAGTTCTTTCAGTGAGCAGCAAGAAGCCAAACCTAAACCAACAACAACAAGATAAAAAAGTAAACTACATCAAACATGGATGGTTTCAATGTAAAAGAAGATAACTAGAGAAAGTTGTCAGACCATGTCCAAGTCTCAGTATTTTGTTGTAACGCAGGTCTAACACTCGAAGTCGAGTGAGTTCACGTAGGCCCTCGATCACCGAGATACCGTTCTTTGACAAGTTCAATGCATGTAGTCCTCGAGGAAGAACACCAGAGGTTATCTTAACTGGAACATGTATTAAGACCCAAGTATAATAAACGGAAAGAAACACAATAAGAGTGTAAGAGATTAGCAAAAAGGGCTATAGAGTCTACCTATTGCATTTCCTGAGAGATTGAGAACTCTCAGACCAACAAATGCAGTTATGTTTGGTATCGCAACAAGACCACGACTAACCAGCTGGGCTGTGGTTGAAGCACTACTCAGAGAAGAAAAATACTTTTTTGCAAATCCCATTCCAGGACTTGACTTCATGATATCAACATTAGGAGAAGCTGTTGTTGCCTCGTTTGACACGACCGGTTCTCTTTGCAACTCATCATCGTACTCTGTTATTTCATCAGCTTCCCCTGTCGAATTTACATGCTGAAGGTCACTGACCCAATCCTCGATACGCTTGATTTTAAAATCCTTTCCTTGAAACTCTGCATGCTGGTTTGATGTTTCTCCTTCAACAAACTTTGTTGAATTGACCTCATCTGTAGGTGGCACTATCCAATCTTTTGCACCATATGCATCATCATATCCGTCCTCCTCAAGATTTTCCTTGTTGTTACCTCCAGATTTATGCATACCATAGTCTTGATCTTGTTTCGCCTCTGCATCAGTCTCCTGGACAGATTTATCTCTTTGGCGTCTGCCAAGAACACGAAGGTCATCTGAGGATCTAGAGTGGCGAGAAGAGTATTTGAGAGGTGAAGATTTCCCTGAAGCAGATTCTGCAATATTAGGCATTGAGTTCGACCTCACAAGCAACGGTGAACCACAAGGAGTCTGGCTGTTTGAGTTCTCCATCAGTTCACCATCTAAAGAGATATCATCGAGCTGACGGCTGCCTTGATCAGTATTATGAACATCTCCAACCGAGAAAATAGACTCATAGAGTGCTTGATCAGAACCCTGGTAAGCAGAAACCGAAGCTCCAGGATCTTTCTGATACACAGCAGGACTTCTTTCTAAACGCTTGCTGCTACTTCCAGCCACAAAAGTATCATTCTGTTCAAGAGAATTCGGAGAAGCAATCCGATCTGTGCCATCATCTGTTCCATTCTCCGTAGCATCTCTCCCATCCAAGTAAAGTTCATCTCCATGAGACTGACTCTTCTTGAGATGAAATACATGATGCTTCCCAGTTTCTTGCTCAAGTGGTTTAATCTCCCCAGATTTCCATACACGCTCAATAGAAGCAGCGGTAGAGCCAGCTACGGCTAAGCTCGATCCTTTTGATGTAGACCCATCTTCCCTGATAACTCGTTCTGAAAACCCTTCCACGGATTCCTGCATCACCGGAACATATCAGTGTCCTGTTATAACACTTATGAACCTAAAGTAGGTAAAAAGAAAAACAATTTTACAGTACAATGGGCGTTGATGTTCCAGCTTACCTTAGGTCTAGGGCGAGGGATGCGAGAGTTGAAGCAGAAAAACCTTACCATTGTACCAAACCCAATAACACAGACAACATAACCCACTAAAACAACAGAGCAAAACTAATAAAAAAACTAAAAAAGTGTTCTATCTCAACAACAAGATCAAGTTATGCTCTTTGCAAGTAAACAAACGTTAGCCGTAATCAAGGGTGAGACCCTGGGAGACACGACGGAGCCTCCAAATGATAGAAGCGAGAGAAATGGTGGGGAGAGAGAGTGAAGTCAGCACTTGAAGGCCACCCCACACCTGTGCAGAGGTGCGAGAAGCACACGTCTTTGCAGTAGCGGCCAGAGTGAAGAAACCAATTTATCTCTCGAGAGAGCTTAAAAAAAGCCCAATTCCTCTTAAATTCCCTAATTAATAATTGCTCACCTAATGAAAACAAACAAAAATTGAAACTGAATCAGACAGATATGTATACAAGATACACCGTCAAAATCGAATCGAACGATATCTCAATCGATTAAAAATGTCAACGGCAATAACAAATCACACGAAACATTAATTGTAAAAACACTAATCGAGAATGAAACCACCGTCACGAAAAATAATCGCGAGAACGAAGTCGAAGGATAGAATCGGAGATCAGAGAAGAGGTATTCTTACCAGAGAGCGTAGACAGATTTGAAATGAAGAGCGAGAAGATTCGAAATCAGCGAGCTCTTCTCCGGAGAAACGATTTATCTTCAAAAGGAGAAAGTTTGAGGAAGTAACCCTAAAACAAATCCCTTTCTTTTTTTTAATGTTTATGGACGGAATCAAAATTGAACGACGACCACATACTTTTTTTAACCAAAGTAGTCAACGGCTCTGATTTTTTCAAACTTCCGTTCACACTTTATTGTTTTATTTATTTTTGAATTATGACGAACCGGACCGCCATTTTACCGTACTAAACCGGCTGATCAAATCATTTTTTTTTGAATAAACATATCGGCTGATTCGATCGACACAGGAGGAACGCACTTAGTGTTACAGAATAGACTGGCTACCACACTGTCTGATCCGAATTTGAAATATCTTCCAACTAATGTCAGAGGGTGAATCAATCATCTATTATGATCCACCATGTAAACTATTTGGATCGAAATCCAAGTACAAACTGGTCAAGTAATAATAATTTAGTTCATAGAGAGAATCGAATCCAAGACTAATGTGGATACACACCAAGCTCCAAAAGATTGTCACTAGACTACCACCACTTGGTTATCTGATAAAGTCATTTGGGTGGGATTTATTGTATTCGATTCTAGAGTTTTGGTAGATTAGATATTTTTAAATTTTAGTTCGGTTCAAATATTTGTCCACTTTGCCACTCATCGAGGTAGGTAGCTCCTCTAATGCTACTATAATCGTTGTGGTTGCTTCACTAGGAAGAACCAATGTTTAATAACTCGCTAGGCGCTAGTCGGGTGCTCGGATTGGGCCTAGCGCCTAGACAACAAATCGGGGATTAATCGGAACCTAGTTTATATTATTATATTATACACATATCTATATATATATTACCATCGGCGAGATTATTCAACAAGTTTGATGTCTCCTAGTGGTTCATACACTGAATCTTATCGTAAGCGACCGGGTTTCGAAACCCAGTTGGTGCATTTTGTCTATTTTCGCATTATTTACCCAGATTGGTAGGTAAAAGTCCCACATCGGTAAGTTTGTAAAAGGGATACGAAATATCTACTCTATATATAGAGTTCTTCTCCAGATTCCATTTGTGATATAATTGCAAAGATATATGGGCTTTCGAAAGCCCAAAAATATCTATTGTAATGGTTGGACCGATTAATTGATAATCGGACCGACTAATCGGTAATTGGGCTCTGATTATTCGGCTTAATGGGCCGATTTATTAGTTGGTGATTTCTTTGTCCGACTGTAGTAAAATCATGGCGGCAAGAGTCCGATCAACGAATAATCGGGCGCCTATGTGCCCGAGTTTTAGAACAGAGGGAAGAACATCACTTATATTTGCCTTGGATTATCTGTGACTATCTTTGTATAATTCTTTTATATAAATTCAGGGGTTTGAAATATTTTTGTGGAGATCTATGTTGATGTAATTTTCTTCAAAAATTTTAGAGGTTTATAGCAAATGTTTAACGACCAATGACCAGTCCTGGTTAGGAAAGGTGCACATCAACAAGGAGAAGCAAGGTTATTAGATATTTTAGGAAAGCCTGAGCAGAACCACACATGCAAATTTCTATGTTCGTCCGTCGTAACTATGTTTTGAATGGGGAAAATTCCTTAAAAATACACCAACTGAGTTTCTTTTGCTAAAAAAATACATCAACTTTTTAGACTTCCCGAAAAATACACAGAGTAATTTTGGTTGTCTACAAAATACATGAACTTTTGAATTTTGAAGGTTTCACACCTCGATTTTAACGGCGTTAACTCTGATTAACAGAAGATTTAGACGCCGTTAGACGTCGTTAGACGACGTTAACTCTGATTCAAAAGTTCATGTATTTTGTGGACAACCAAAATTAGTCTGTGTATTTTTCGGGAAACCAAAAAAGTTCGTGTATTTTTTCAGCAAAGAAAATTTAGTATGTGTATTTTTAAGGAATTTTCAAAAATATACTAAGGTGGCAAAGACATTGATATTTTTGTTTGACTGAAAAAATATAATTTTTGAATATATTTTGTTCATATTGAGGCCGGTTTTTCTAGGGTCAGTTTGGATCTATATTTAAAATACGTGTAAAATACCAGTAATTTTCGGATATGTATCATGTAATAGAGAATGTGTTTTTGTTTGGGTCTTTGGGTCGGGTTTGGGCCGGTTCTTTTCGGATCTAAGATATCCGGATCTAAGAACCGGCCCAAACTCGACTCAAAGAACTGAAGAAAAACACATTATCTTCCACATGATACAGATCCAAAAATTACCGATATTTTCCACGTATTTTAATTATAGATCCGAACTGATCCTAAAAAGATCGGCCTCAATATGAACAAAATGAACAAAATATAAAGAAGTCAAAAAAACACATTGTTCATATTAATAGTCACGTATTTTAATATATTTTGAACAATGTGTGTATTAATATGAATAATGTGTTTTTTTTGCTTCTTTATCTTTTGTTCATTTTGTTCATATTGAGACCAGTTTTTCTAGGATCAGTTCGGATATATAATTAAAATACGTGGAAAATACTGGTAATTCTTGGATATGTAGCATGTGGAAGAGAATGTGTTTTTGTTTGGGTCTTTAGGTCGGGTTTGGGCCGGTTCTTAGATCCGGATATTTTAGATCCGAAAAGAACCGGCCCAAACCCGACCCAAAGACCCAAACAAAAATGCATTCTCTATTACATGATACATATCCAAAAATTACTGGTATTTTACACGTATTTTAATTATAGATCCAAACTCACCCTAGAAAAACCGTCCTCAATATGAACAAATATATTCAAAAATTACATTTTTCAGTCAACAAAAAAATCAATGTCTTTTCCACCTTAGTATATTTTTGAAAAATCCTTAAAAATACACATACTAAATTTTCTTTGCTGAAAAAATACACGAACTTTTTTGGTTTTCCGAAAAATGCATAGACTAATTTTGGTTGTCCACAAAATACATGAACTTTTGAATTAGAGTTAACGTCGTCTAACGGCGTCTAAGTGTTCTGTTAATCAGAGTTAACGCCGTTAAAATCGAGGTGTGAAACCTTCAAAATTCAAAAGTTCATGTATTTTGTGGACAACCAAAATTACTCTGTGTATTTTTCGGGAAGTCTAAAAAGTTGGTGTATTTTTTTAGCAAAAGAAACTCAGTTGGTGTATTTCTAAGGAATTTTCCCTTTTGAATGAATGAAATGGTTAGTCTTCTCTTTATTTAATTACGAAAACTTCATTGTCACTAGTGGCGAAGCAAATACCTCGTTGTCACTAGTGGCAAAGCAAATTTCATTCGAGAATATCTAAAAAAACAAAAAACATCTGAATCATCCAAAAATAACTAATTCTAGATATAATATTTGGTTCGAGTTCATATTCAGTATTTCGGATATAGGAAATTAGATTACTCGTTCAGATCGGATTCTCTGATATATTGCCCATGCTTAGAGGCTATTACATACAATATAGTTAATAACTCACTCCTTTCATCGTATCAAATTTGATAACATATCGTGAATACCAAAATGTAGAAAAAGCTCTAACATTTTTACTTACCTATTAAACCATGTAAACCGTATTCACATCCTAAACGGTATAAACAAACCGAAAATTTCCTAATCTTCCTTTTGTACCTCTTAAACTTAATCCATAGAAGAGCTAGATTCTTCCGTCTCGTCTCCATTGAAACTAGAAGGCAACTCCACACCAGACCTACAATCATTAGTATGATCCAATAAGCCAATTTGATCTCTCTCTTTTGTAACAAACAATGCATTATGATGTGTTTACCAACCGGATTATCTGGTCTTTTCTTTCAAAAGCCTCGCTGTCTGTTGATTTTGGAGCATAAACTTGCTGAGGATAGCCTTGTTTCAATCGTTTGGTATCCTGTTTAAACACAAGACAAATTAAGCCTAAGAACAAGAACTTGTTGGACCCTGCAAACTCTCAAGTATGCTTAAAGATCAAACTCACAGGTAGAACACTGGTCGAATGCAACTTTTCTCTATGCATTTTCATATGATTCATCTTCTCTCCATGATACTTTCCCACCTTACCACACAAAACACAAGTTATATTTATTCCATACAAGAGTAAGGAAGGAATCTGTAGACTTAGATGTTTTAAAGAAATCGTTACCATTCCAGAAGATGGAGGACCTCTCTCCATTGAATCAGAGGATCGGCTGCTACTCAGAGGCAACATGTTTGAAGATTTAGTGAGATATCCGGTCTTGCGTCCACCATTAAATACACTTCTATCATAATCATGACTCTGATTGCTTCCAGGGAGATTATGGAAGTTGGCAATCTGATTGTTTCTCGAACCTTCAGCACGACCTTTGGAGCTTATATGACTCTTCTTGTTGTTGTTTAGAGGGATTCCTTGAGGTGGACTTTTGAATGGCCCTCTCAACGAACTGTGGTCAGGGGCTGTATTAGAGTAACTGAGAGAAGGAGATTTAAGTCTTGGTTCCCGAAGACTCTGCTTATCTCCTAGACCAGGCTCCATTCCACCCATCATGTCATCATCATCTTCATCATCATCATCCTCATCCTCTGATGAATCCAACTTCGATTTACGAGCTAGTTCATAGCTCTTTTATAAGATATCAAACATAAAGAAAATTAGTTTATTGATCCCCATGGATATGTTAAATTATAAGTAGCAAGCTTATAAAAGTTCACTTACAGGACCAGGAATAAAGCTCTTCCTAGTTCCAGTGAAGTATGGAGGGTGAGACCGTCTTTGATTCCCAACATAGACTGGCTCTGACAAAACAGTTGACATAAAAAGCAATCAAATCCAACCGGACATGGGTTAAGGCATTCACAATCTGACAAACGAAGAAGATAACTTAAGCTTCTCTGAACCACTAACTCAATAAAGCAGAAACACTTTTTTTTAACATGACTCACCTTGAACTATAACATTAGTCTGAGGCTCAAATGCACCAGGAGGAAGAGGATCAAACACAACCCCAAGAGGTGGACCATCCTCCCTATATTGTCTTCCTAATTGTCTCTTGACGGCAGTGATAGCAACATTCTCAGTACTATCTCCCTTCACTTTCAAGTATCCCGAAGGCTTACTAAACCCATAACTCCTCATAGCCTGAGGATGCTCATTATGTGCAACATATCTAGAACTTTCCATACCATCTTTGCTAGAGACAAGATTCTTATGTAACGATGACCTACGTTCCGAAGATGTGCTATCTTCACCATCATCATCATCATCATCATCATTACCGGTGTAAGAGCCCCCATAAAGCCTTGGACTTTCAACTTCCCTTGGCTTAGGGTTCCAATAATCAGTTTGCTTAGTGCTACCACATGAATCCTGTCTAAGTACACTCCCACGATCTTGAAGAACAACGCTTGACCGATCTTGACTTCCTATGTTGTTCCCATCTTCTTTAACAGAACGTTTGTCCTTTAACCTTCTATGGCAGAACCAGCCTGAAACTTGCTTCTCGGTTAAGCCTATTTCCTCTGCTATCTTAGCCTTCATTTCTTCGGTCGGGTACTTATGCTCTGTAGAGAAACCAAGTCACAAGCATATAAAGACAACTTGGCATAAAGAAACAGGTACATAATAAAACAAGTTCATTAGTTACCATTGTAGAAATTCTCAAGCGCCATAACTTGGATAGGAGTCTTAAGCTTCCGTTTCTTGCTGTTCTCTGCGGAGTGTTTATCGCCATCAGCAGGCATCTCTCCTGAATCTAAATAAAAAAAAACATACAGCATGATTCAACCATAACGATGAAACATAGAAACATATTCTCCATCAAACACAACAAGTCTTACTTATGTTTCAATAACCAAGAGACTAAACAGAACACCAAAATCAAAACTTTTTTGATTATGTTTTTGGTTTCCAACATTCTGCAAAATAAAACCTTTAAATCTACACAAGTTTCACCTAAAAAGATGCAACTTTATCAGCCTTTGACCTTTGTGTGATCCCAAAAAAACACCAATCAAAACAATCAAAATATCAAAAATCTGTTTTTCTACAAATGTTGCAAGTAATTACACAATTCAAGCCTTAAATTAAACACAAATTTCACACAAAGGATGCAACTTTATCAGTTTTTTGACCTTTCTATGATCTGCCAAAACAACCCTTAAATATTTCCAGATGTCTTAGCTCCATTGTTAGTACCAAAAAAGCTTAAAATTTCACCATTAATTTGATGGGTTTCACTAATTAAAACTACAAACATTAGGAATCGCATTGTGATTCAACATATAACACGATACTAGGATCATTGAAACCCATTCTCTCACGTTAACTCTAGGAAACAGGACGAAAAACAGAAATACAATGGAAAGACAGATATTGAAAGAGAGGAAGATAACCTGAGAGCATATTTCCAGAGATTGATGGATCAAAAACCTAATCACAACTCTGATTTTCTCATCCGAGGAAGAAGAAAACTTTCTCTTCACGAACAAACAAAAATCTTTTAAACCGAGCCGGTTCAGTTAAATCGTTATCTTGAACCAGCTAAACCGCGTTTACGATAAAAGCTGGCCATTCGGCTCATACCGAAGTAAACCGATCGAACCGATAATTTAGCTTTCGGTTCCCAGTCCGGTTTATCTACGACCCCATCGGAACGAGATTTTTGTTCGGTTTGGTTCGATACAAAGGGACCGATCAGTTCAACAAGCATCAACCTATAAATAAAATTAATATTAAACCAAATTTTGACCCGATTAATTTCGTTATTTACCCAGTTGACCGAATTCCAACACAAAATAATACTCAAAACCAAACAGAATAACCCGAATTCCGAACCGACTAAGATATAATTCGGTTCAATTTGATGTTATTTTCCCAGACGTTTTATTAAACCGGATTGATTTAAAAAAAAAACGGTTTTCCGAACCGGGTAAATCCAGTGTTGGGCCTCACGGTGGGTCTAATGACAAGGAATAAAAACTATCGGGCCGACTAAACCTAAAACTTGAGCCTTATTATGGGCCTCAAATTAGAGAGCGAAGAATAAGTAGAGAAAGAGAGAGTCGACGACTGGTTTTCGCAAACCGCCATGGCTACAGCTACAAGGCTTCTCCGGAGATTACCGAGGTCTCTCAAGCTTCCTCCACCAACACTTCTCCGTAGCAACAACGGAACAAGGGTTTCAAGCTGTTTTTCTCACAAAACCAACGAGACATTTGGATCTCGTAACCGCCACGATTCTATTACCACTAGGAGCTTGTCTTCTCAAGGTCCTGCTCCTATCGATTACAGGTACTATTTTACTTCCTAATCTCTTTCCTTTTTTGGATTCGTTAGTTTCATAAAAAATGTAAAAGATAAACAGTTCGATTTTGAAGGAGGATGAGTTTCACAAATTAGCCAATGTCACTATCAACCACCTTCTTGAGAAGATTGAGGTAATATATGTAAAGCTAAAGACTTTGACTATTTTTAGATTGCAATAGTCTCGTATTTACAGTGTCTTGTCTGGAAAAAAAAAACATTGATTCATGTTCAGGATTATGGTGATAATGTTCAGATTGATGGGTTCGACATTGATTATGGGGTAAATGCATTTACCAACTTCTGTTTTTTTCTTTTTCTTTTCTAAATCCATGTGTGTGTGTTTATAAGTCATTGCGTTTGTTGTTGTGTCCAAAACAGAATGAAGTTCTTACCCTTAAGCTTGGATCTTTAGGTACATATGTTCTCAATAAGCAAACTCCTAATCGACAAATCTGGATGTCTTCACCTGTCAGGTATACGATTCTTGCTAATTTTCTTTGAAAGTTGCCAACTTTAGGTGTCTAAATCGAATTACTTATCTTCTGCTGTAATTTATGGAGAAAGGATAGCTTTTGTAACTGTTTATCACTGCATTTGACTTTGAGCTTCCACAGCTTGTGATTCACTTTGATGTTATCTTGATTTTTTTTTCTTTTTTTCCATATTGTTTTTGGCTAGCAGTGGTCCGTCTAGATTTGACTGGGACCGTGATGCTAATGCGTGGATTTATCGACGAACGGAAGCAAGGTTGCATAAACTGTTGGAAGAAGAGTTAGAGAATCTATGTGGCGAACCAATTCAACTCTCATAGCCTTAAAACAGTATTTGTGAGTTTATCTTGGAACTGCTCTGCCCTTAAAAAGGTGTATGTATGAAACATCAAGATGAATAAACAAACTAGACACATGAAAAGGTTGTTTCAGTGTGAAAACCTGATTGATGTTTTTGATTGTACCTTTCTTACAGAAGTGTCTCATGGTGACGCTGTTACACAAAAAAAAAAAAGAATCTTGCATTTGTCAAAAAGTCAAAACATTGCGTTTCATAAAAAGAAATCCTGAAAATTTTGGTTAAACCAAGTTTGCAGGGTCCAACAGGCTGACTTCTTCAACACCACTGTCCCCCATTCTCTCAATAATTCATGCTCACTCCCACCTAAAGTACTCTGAAAGTACGTATTATTTGAAAAATGTTCGATCTTTTTTGAACTATATGCATACCCATGGCCGCAAAAGTTGTTACAGTAGCTAAGAGAGTGTAAAGTACTATCTACTACGTTCATGGCCTTTTCTAGACATTTCAAAACACATGATTAGTTTCTTTCCACGAATACTTTTCAAGGTGGGTCTTTCGTTAACGTTGAGGCAAAACTTTTTCTTTCCCTTAAACAAGTTTTGAGTTTTTAAGAAGAAAACAAATGAAGTAAGAGATGGTCAAGTACACTCATTACTCAGTAGTGCTGGTCACAGAAATGGTAGTACACTCATTACTCATTACTCAGTAGTACACTCATTGACGTTACCCTACATTATCAAACAAAGCTTCATCATCTACCAAACCAGAAACTTGCTCCCAAAATGAGGTAATAACAGCTCTTAACATTGAGCTACTTTTCTCTATTTGTTCTCAGTAAGAAGAAAAGATTTCAACAGAAATGTAATAGCTAATAAACCTTAGACATATAACAGAGAGATCATCCAGAAACTTTCAAAGGAATGAGAGATTTTGGCTGTGGAAGAAGCAATGTTGAATCCCATTAACTGTGACTTTATATTATTTGCCTCCGGAGAGAAAGAGTCTATATACAGAGGAAACTAGAACTTAAGAGTCAATCTTGATCAATGATATTCAATGGCGAGGCTCATTTCTTACTGCTCATTAGTCGATATGCATGTGAAATCTTTAGAAATCTTTTAGGTGTTCCTAGTATATATCAATAAACTTTTATGTGTCCTTGTGTGTATGTGACTTGAGTCTGTTTTTGCGTTAGCAAGTTTTCTTTCTACAATAACTTACACTAAAAAGAAACTTTTATGTTATTGTTTCATCTTTTTTTCAATCAAGTCTAACTATTTTCTACTTCCTGTCATCCCGTGTGTGTATTAGAATTACGATATCTTGATTTTAAAGTTATTAAGCCGCCAAGCCGTAATGTTACGTGGCCTTAAATAATAGTACTTGTAGATATACGTAATATTAAAGCTGCCCACGGATCGGCTCAATATTTTAAGGTATTTATGATTTGCTTCCTATGTTAAAAATAACTAATTTTTGATTCATTTCATTTGAAAAATACAGATATCTGGAAAAAAAAAATATCTAAAAAATAAATAGATATTTATGGATACACAAATATCTCATACGTTTTGATTAATATAAATAATTTTAAAAATTTGATACAAATTTGTTTTATAAACTTTTTTTCATGATATATAAAATAAGAAAATAAATGAAGTAGTGAATTTACATATTTAAAAAATTTTTTTTTAACTTGAATAACAATTATAATAACACAAAACGTAAGAAAAAGTTATAATTCTCATTAATTTTGTTCTAATCTTTTTATGTAATACTTTTATATAAGTAATAATGTGAAGAGAATTTTTCAAATCATGTGATATAATAATAATTATATAATTTTATACATTTAAAACTTTAAATATAATTAAAATATACATGTATTTATATATTATCGGATCGGAGTAGATATTTGCTTCTCCAAAATTTTAATATTTGTGATTTGCATAGATTTTAACAAATATTGATTTTTAGTATTTGATTTGTTAAGAAAATATATGGATATCCAAAAATTTTAGATCGAATTAAAATGAATAACGAATCGAATAAAATTTAACGGATAAATATCCAGTCCTAACTAATACCATAAGTATATTGTTTATTTTTGAGTGATATATAGGAAAAGTCTTTAAAATTGAAACTGCTTTATATTCTTATTTAATGAACTTGAGGCAGTTTGACCATTCAGAGATAATGGTCTATTCTTCTTCGCCGTTGTCATCTTCCTTGGAACCGTATTAGTCATTAAGTGATGGTGATGTCTACGAGAAGTCTTGAGACTTGAAACTACTTCGCTCCCTTTATTTAATGGACTTGAGACAACTTGTGATCATCAAACAAAATGGCATCTTCCTCTTTGACTCCGGTAATGAAAGAAGACGGAGAGTGTAGAAACTGGGCTGATCTTCCGTCTGAACTGATTTCATTGATCCTGCGCAGGCTCGACTCGACTGACATATTGGAAAACGCTCAAAAAGTGTGTACAACATGGCGTCGCGTCTGTAAAGACCCTGCCATTTGGCGCAAGATTTTCATGCGCGACCCATTAGTCGACATTATCTCACTGTTCAAAGGGTACGACCTCAAGGCCATGTGCTGTCACGCAGTCGATCGTAGCGAGGGAGGCTTGGTCGAGATCGACATTTTGTATTTTGGTACTGATTCTCTCCTCAACTACATTGCTGATAGGTAACCTCTTTCTTTTTCTCGGCATAAGTTTTTGAACAATAATAGGCTTATTTATATATAACACTTAATTACTTGCAGATCAAGTAACCTGAGAAGCCTTAGACTTGCTATGTGCTCTTCAATAACAACTGATGGACTTACGGAAGCAGTTGTGAAACTTCCATTGCTTGAAGAACTTGAGGTCTCATACTGCTCATTCTCCGCAGAGTCTCTGAAAGTTGTAGGCCAGTCTCTTCCTCACCTGAAGACTCTGAAGCTAGACCGCCGCCCCGGCGGTCCTCCTTGGTTCGCGAACGTGAGTGATATTGATGCTCTGGCTATAGCTGAAACAATGCCTGGACTTCGCTTCCTCCAGCTTCTTGGAAATCTATTATCAGACGTTGGTTTAAACGCCATTCTTGATAGTTGTCCTCACCTGGAACATCTTGATTTACGTCAGTGTTTCAAACTTAACTTTGACGGAGATCTGGAGAAGAAATGTTCTGATAGGATCAAAGTTTTTAGACGACCTCGTGACTCGGCTGATGATTTCCCATTTTATGCAACTATATTCGACCATGATGGTTATTACGTTGTAAACGATCCTTATGAACGATAGACGATGGCCCCTACCTGGATGATAGATTCCGTTTCATGCGTTTCTAGTTTCGTTTTATTTCTTTATTTTTCAAGTGCCTTTGCGAAACTCTTTTCTATTATATTTCCTAATTCAAGAATTTGTTATTGTTTCATCTACCTTTCCAGTAAAAGTTTGTGAGTTTATTCTGCAAGTTTAATGAAAACAAGCCTTTTTGCCAGTCTGAGAGTTAAATATTGATGAATCAAAAGGACTGCAAAGAAAACTTTTCTCAGACAAATTAACTTGTTCAGGAAATGAACACTAGTAGTGACTTTGCTTGAGTTCCGTAAGAAAGTTTTGAGATTCGGAATGTTAAGTCTTCCACTCTCTTTTGAGTATCTGCAGATCTTGCTAAAATCTTTTTACCAGAAACCTCTATAACCCCATCAAGCTGTAAAGAGTTGTTTAGAGGTAACTCTTGGAGAAGACGGCTACTAATTCTCAGTTCCTTGAGTCCCAAGAAATATTCTAGTGTTCATTTCTCTAGATGAATAAAGTTTGGATATGCCAGAAAATTTTCTAGTGTTCATGTCCCAAGCCTTGAGTGTCATATTAATATCGTTTATAACAACGGCTCTTATCTCAGTCAGACTCGTGTGTTTTCAACTGTGTCTACGTATACCTTTTACCATCATCATGATCAGTAATGGTACTAATTAGTGCAGTGCATCTTAAATATTTAATTTGCAATAAAAATTTGTTTGCTTGGTGATAATTTCATAATGGTTCTTTTACTATCTTAAATATCAATTTGAAATAAACTTCAAATTTATTTTATTTTTATTAATATAAATTTAACTACTAAAATTCTTTTGAGGTAGAAATACAAATTAAAAAATAGTGTAAATATTTTACTTAAATTAAATATAAAAATATTTAGTATATAATTTATATTTTAGGCATTGAAAATATATTAAAGTTTTTGTTCAGTTGAAATGTTTTAGATATAAATATACATGAATTATTTTCTTGTGGTATTTGCCTATTTGGTTCAATAACTTTTTTTAATAATATTTATTATATTAATCCACCGTTCAATAACTCTTTGTTTCATCATTTTTTGGTTTGACTCAAAATATGATTTTTAATGAATAGAGTAATGAGTTTTGGTTTTGCTGGCCGGTCCTATCCAGTTTTCAAAAATTTATTCGTATGAAATAATTGTTTTTTTCATTGCTTATTTGAGAATTCTTTGATTTTAATGGTGAATTTTCTTCTACTGTCCCTTGTAAATTGAAGATAAGGTTTACATTGCCTTTGGTAAAAATTTCGTCTTGGTCTGCCACTGGATATGATGAATGACTTTTTGTCACAACTTATAGACGAGAATAGACAATACCCCTGTTCGTTTCTTCATCGCGCGTCCAGCCGCAGCGTCAGGTAATTAAGCCTTTCACCCAGCAACATACAACACCGGTGATCTGTTTTCCCGCCGCTGCAGCAGTAAACCACAAACAAAATCGACACCGACGCGGACGCAGAAAATATTAGCGTCACTAGTGTCAAGTCATTTTTATCTCCAGCAATCAATCGGCGATTCTGTTAACTTTCCATTCTTCTTTTTTTTTGTGTCTGTCATCGTAGTTTTTAAAACACTGCAGCTGAAAACAGCGACAAGGAAACGAATAGGGGTATTGAGTCATAGTTTCGACAGACTGGTCCAAGTTTATAAGATTTAAAAAAAATCAAATAGATAAGATTTCTTATAAAACTTATAAATACAATTTCAGTTTTAAATAAAAGTTAAGTTTTATAAATTCTATAGCATTTTTACATTTTAACAAAAACAAAATAAATAAATAATGAGTTAATGAAACTTGGGCCTAAAACATTTTTATTTTGGGGTGGAGAAGGGGGGGGGAGGTTGATACAGTTGCCTATTCATTTCCATGTAACTGTAAGCAGAGGCGGATGCAAAGAAGGGTATGTGGGGATCAAATGATCCCACTAAATTAAAAAAATTAGTGTATATTTTTCTAAAGTTACTTTTAATATTTTGGCAAATTTTGGTATTTGAACCTACTAATCTATTATATTAAAAGAGAAGTCATGACTCACTTCATGTGTGATATTTTAGTTTAGACCATCTTTAGAATTTTATAAAATTTTACATAACATTATAATATCTTTTCATATCTTTAATTTTGTTTGAAATACAAATAAATAGTTTTAAGAAAATTCTAACAAAATCTTTTAAAAATCTTTTATAATCTTTTTCAAGATATAGTTTCAAAAATTATTTGATTAAAATTTTAATTACATAAAATATAATTAAAATTTTAATTCATTTTTAATTTATAAAAAAAAATTAAAATTATGTAAAATACTTTTATCAATATCCCAAAAATTTTTTATGTATTATGTAGGTCCAACTTAATTAATTTTTACATAGATTTCAAATTTAGAAATAAAACAAAATATATACATTAGTAATCTTACATAATAATGTTTTTAAAAATTATTACACAAATACAAATTTATAAATTTTATAATAATAATATTATAAGTCACATAAAAATGATTATAAAATTGGATAGCATAAATAATCAAATTATACTTATTTATTGATAAATTTTACTATATAATTTCAAATATTTTCGTATTAAAATACCCGCACGGTTGTGCGGGTCGAAATCTAGTCTATTATATTAAAAGAGAAGTCATGACTCATTTCATGTGTGATTTTTTTTTATTTGGACCATTAGCAAAAAAGATTTATTAAATATATTTCATTTCTTTGTAACCATTTCAATCATAATATCTTTGATATCTTTTTATTTCAATATAAATATGTATTAATTCTTTTTAAAAAATCTGTTGAAGAGATTTTAGCAAGATCTTAAATTTAAAAATATTATATAAATATTTAACTAATTAATAACTTGAATAAAATTTCGAATTAGTAATGAAAATAATTATACATTAATATATATATATATATATATATATATATATGAAAACAGATTTTATTCTTTTTATCTATTTAATAATCATAAACTATCAAATTAAATGAAATTATTATAATAAAGTGAATGTTATAAAATTATATTAAATTGATAAATTAATCAATTTTATTTTCATAAATAGAAAATATTAATGTTAAAAATTATATAATATATTGGCAGAACGGATTAACATTAGTAACTACAAATACATGTATAAAATTAACATATCTTACACTTTTATAATATCATATTTTCTTTATAAACATAAAAAGTTTAATAAATGGTAATCTAACTTTGAAACTCAAATAATAATTTAGTATAAATTATATATAAAATAATTTTCAAATATGATTTTTCATGCATATATTAATATTAATAATTAAATATAAAGCCAATTAGATAAATATATAATAAGAAACAATTGATATTAACGTACAAGCTATAAAACTATTGTGTTTGTAATAGTTATATAAACATTTAAACATATAACTAATGTTATTAATGATATAAAACAAATATATATATATATATATATATGAAAACAAAATCCGCGCGGGGCTAAATCTAGTTTATGTTTATGTTCTCATATGCCTCCATTAAAGAAACATTTTTGTTTAAGTATCATATATTATCAAATTTTAATATTAAATTTATACAGTATATTATAATCATGGAAAAAATATTTTTAGCTCTGCCTCTGACTATAAGCACGGCTCTGCATCAACATTGTATAATAATGTTTACAACGTGTTGATAAGAAAGTAATAATAACGTTTTGTAACGTATCGCATGTTGTATCCACGAGGTTCATGCCTTTTCTTTTGATCAACCGAGGGTCAGACTTTAGATTAACAGAAATAATGAATGTTTTATAAAGCGGTAACTATAGTCTACTACATTTTCTTAAACATGGCATTTGAATAATTAGATCAAACCATGGCTTCTAAGCATCACTGGAGGAACAAAACATCGATAACGCTAAAAACCTCAGCTAATACCAATATTTCCTGTTTTTGTTTCTTTTGTTGTCATTGGTCCTTGGTCAACGAGTAAAGCATACTGACAAAACAACCAAATCTTGAACACATTTTCAGCAAGTTTGCAATATTAAAATCATAGAATCTGATTGAAGGGAGGAAAATGAATGAGAGAGAGAGGGCTTGTTTATCTCTTCTTCTTGCTACCTTTGCCTGACTTTGACGAATTTTCGCCGGTTGAAGTTGTGGCCTGAGGTTCCTATTGACAAAACAACCAAATCTTGAACACATTTTCAGCAAGTTTGCAATATTAAAATCATAGAATCTGATTGCAGGGAGGAAAATGAATGAGAGAGAGAGGGCTTGTTTATCTCTTCTTCTTGCTACCTTTGCCTGACTTTGACGAATTTTCGGTGGTTGAAGTTGTGGCCTGAGGTTCCTACTTCTTATTTGCTTTCGGTGATTCATGCTTCTTCTCTTTCAGTGACTCATACTTCTTGGCTTTTTGTGATTCCTGTTTCTTCTCTTTCTGTGATTTTTGCTTCTTGGCTTTCTCTGAATGTCTCTATACCAACTCTAACATTTTCTGCATCAGTTGCTTCCCTGCAAACATATATCAACATAATGACCACATCATATGTCTGAAATAACACCTTGTAATGTCAATGGATATCAAATATTCACTCTTTCATGGACATGATTATAAGACTAAAATCATGAAAAACAACCAAAGAACATTAGATTTGGAAAATATGAGTTAATGTTTGTATGACTTGCCTCTGTTTTTTTTTTTTTTTGTCAGCAACCTTACCTCTGTTTAAGTTGATGAAGTTGTAATGAAACTCTGTTTACTGCAGACACAAGTAGAATAACAGACCACTGTGATAACAACATTCAAAATAAACAAAAAGAAAAGAACAGTGAGCTAAAACTATTTACCACCTTTGGATCCTTAAGAGGTGGGAAGAATTTCAATACAAAATCTATCCTTCAATGATGTTATCAGTATTGTCTTCACCCCACACTGTAGAATCATGAATATTATCAGATATAAGAACAAAAATATTCAGAATGATTAAATACTTACAGGTATCATTGACATGAACCCATCATGTATTTGATCAGAAAGCGATCATGTACACAAGAATTTGTCTGTCAGTCCAATTGCAAGAATATCCTTTTGAGTTTTTTGAAGTACCTGACAGTTACCATCTCGTAGAACTTTGACAAATGTAATCAAATGAAGTCACACATCTGCAACATGAAACAAATGTAATCAATATGTGTTTATATATATAACAGAAACATAAATACTACATTAACTATTCTGAAGTATTTTATTAATATTTTCCTAAATTTTTTTTTTAAACTAAAGCACAAGAACAAGAAAAAAAAACATACAGGTTTTGGGCATTTTAGTGCTTCAAACAGTTCTCTAAATGAATAGATATAAAGTTAATATGTCATACATATTTTATCCAAATCTACATAAAGAACAAACATTCTTTATTTTCCATCAAATTTGTATATATGAAGGTAAAGTGAGTATACTTTGTTATATGTATCTCACAATAAGAGACAACCCTAGCTTGAATAGAATTCTAATGACCAAATCATGCGATGCCAATTTATTAGTTTATTGATTTCAATCCAGTCTCAATCTTTCATATACTGATATGAATTAAGTTCATTCCTTAATATCAATGTAATATGTAAGGTGTCAATCCAATTCCAAAAGATTTCAAATAATGAGAATACAAATATTTGTCTGATCTAAGCAATCAAGTGTAATGAAGTGAAATCAAGTAATAAGAGACAATTCAAACAAAAGAAATTAAGTAACTAATTACGATTTCAATCAATAAGATAAAGAGAACCCTTATACAAAGGCATTTAATCTTAGGATATTAAGATCCAAGTTGAGATGGCAAGCAAGCAATGAACAAGATTTCTTAAGTCTAGAACACAATGATAATCATATATTAATGATTTCCCAAGACATACCAATATGAAATCATGTATCAAACATCAAATCCATTTGGTTTTATACAATTAATCAAACATGCATTCGAAATAAATATAATAACAATCTAGTAATCCTAACATCAAATCTCTTTGGTTAGATATAACATATTCAAGTTTATTCAAGCATTGCATCATACACTTTAAAATAGAATGACTCAATAATATAATTGAATTTTAGAATGACTCAATAATATATTGAACTTTGTATTTTTGAACAAGAAATTAAAAAAATAAACCATAAAATCATTATTTCATAAATGAAATAATCCATTTTTACTCTCTATTAATAAAAATAGAGTGGAGAGCCATAAGAGATAGCTGAGAAGAAAAAGAGATGCAAGCATGTGTAAGTGTATATATATACCTCTAAGGATTCGTTTCCCAATTGTAGTTTACATGAATTAAAGAGATCAGACAAGAGAGTGAATAAGTTGTGTCTGAGAATTGAGATCTTGATCAAGCAAAAGGCTTCAATGAAAGCTTTTCTCAGAAAGCCTAACTTGTTTAAGTGATCTACTTTCTTCGGAATATAAGTGGAAGCAGCTCTCAGACCTTAGGTCTCTGAAGCTAATAACCAGAAACCTCTTAGCTATCAAGCTGCAGAGATTTCTGTAAAGTAATACCTTGGAGAAGACGGCAACTAACCCAAAGTTCAATATGTCTCAACTGATAGTGTTAATTTCTTTAAAAATGGAAAATTTGGATCAGTGAAAGAAACTGAAAGATAAGGTTGGTTTTATGGAACCACAAGAGATAAAGAGGGTGAAGTTAAGTGTTTTAGAACCTCCAAAGACAGATGAAGGAGGTAATCTGAAAGCAGGGTTAAGATAATTTAAAGCTTCAAGGATGTTTAAAGTAGTTTTAGGTTAGTGACTTCAGTGTCAAGATTTGTGATATGAGACTGTTGATTAGTTTAAATTCAACAAAATCCATCGAGCTCTCGTCTTGCAATGACTCGGCATCTGAGGTCTATATAATTTTCATGAGCAGCTTCCACTGACATTTATTTTACGTGTGAAGAACCATCCTCTGCTGCTTTACAAGGGTCTCAAGCTGTGAAAGACCGAATGGGAAGATAAAAATAATTGGCCTAACTTTCTATGAATTTGATTTTTAGACTTTCTACTAATGTTTAGTGGCTCTTGTGTGACTCAGGGAACGATTCGTGGAGATCAAGAGATTTCTGTGAAGTGGCCATCTCGCTGCTCAGGTCAAATGTCAGGCCAAGCTCCAACACTGGAATCTTGTTAGACTTCTTGGCTACTGTGTTGCTGGAGAAGAGAAACTGAATTTCTGAGTTAGACATATTCCACAAGTTCCTATTCTATTGTTGCCAAGATAAAAGCAAATTGAGAGTCAACTCAGTTGAAAACCGAAAAGAAAAAGAAAGCTTTGTTTCTCTGAATACTTTTTCTTTCAATTGTTTGATCAGACAAGAGTGTGAATAAGCTGCGTCTGAAAACTGAGATTTTGATCAAGCAAAGGCACTTCAATGCAAGCTTTTCTCTGAAAAAACTAACTTGTTTAAGAAGTGAATACTACTCTTTTCTGAGTATAAGTGGAAGCAGCTCTCATCCTTAAGTCTCTGAAGCTAATAACCAGAAACCTTTAAGCTACTATCAGTCTAGCTGCAAAGATTTTTGTAAAGTAATATCTTGAACAAGACGGCAACTAACCCTAAGTTCACTATGCTTTAATTTATAGTGTTAATTTCTCTAAAAATGCATAGTTTGAATCAGTGAAGAAAACTGAGAAAACTGAGAGATAACAAGCTAAGTGATCTGAGATTGTTGGTTATTTTTAAATTCAAAAAAGTCAATAGATAATTTGATTATTTATACATCAAAACAGAATCATCAAAAGAGCCAGAAACTTGCTCCCAAAATGAGCTTACTACAACTCTTGAAGATTGAAGATAATAACAGCGCTCAACATTCACTTGAGGCATTAGCTAGTTTTCTCTATTTATTCTCAATAAGCATATTCTCAATAAGCATATGATATTTCTACAGAAAGAAAACTTGTAATAGATAATCAACCTTAGACCTGAAACAGAGAGGTTATCAAGAAACTATTAATGGAATGATATTTTGGCTGTGGAAGAAGCCATGTTGAATCCAAATAACTGTGACTTTACCATTTGTCTCCGGAGAGAGAGAGAGAGGAAACTAGAACTTAGAGTCATCTTGATCAACTCCATTCATTGTCTCAGCAGAAAGATGGCTAGGCTCCTTTCTTATTTCTTAATGTTCATTGTCAGCGGAGTCAATGAAATTTATAGGCATACTTGTTCTGTTACATCTAGTGTGACGATGATGCTTTAGCTGATACGCATGTGAAGTGTGTCCTTGTGTTATGTGACTTGAGTCTTTTTGCGTTTGCAAGTTTTCTTTTTAAAATAACTACACTCAAAGAAGCTAGTTGATGTGTGATTGTTTCATCTTTCTTCGACCAAGTCTTTGATGTCTGACTAATTTAGAATTACGATATCTTGATTTTAAAGTTAACAGGCCTCCAAGCCCTAATGTTACTTTTTCCTAAAAAGATGTTTGTAGATACACATAAAATACCATATGAAATATATTGTCTTTTTTTTAAAAAAAAAGTGATATATACGAAAAGTCTTGAACGTTGAAACTGCTGCTTGACACTTGATTATTTAATGAACTTGAGGCAGTTTGTTGACCATTCAGAGACAGATGGTCTCTTCCTCTTCCTTGGAACCATACGTTCATTTAGTTCACTCCCTTTATTTAAATAAATGGAATTGAGACTGTTTGATCATCAGAAAAAAATGGCATCTTCCTCTTTAACTCCTGTGATGAAAAACGGAGCGTGTAGAAACTGGGCGGAGCTCCCGTATGAATTAACATTATCGATCCTGCGCAGGCTCGACATTGTTGACATATTGGTAAACGCTCAGAAAGTGTGTGTGTCATGGCGTCGCGTCTGTAAAGACCCTGCCATGTGGCGTAAGATTGACATGAGTAACCTAGAAGGCTTCGGGTACACTCTCGAAAGAATGTGTCGTCACGTAGTGGATCGTAGCCACGGAGGCTTGCTTGAGGTTGACATTTCGAATTTTGCTACTCATTCTCTCCTCGAGTACATTGCTGATAGGTTAAACTCTCCTCTCGGCATCAGTTTTTGAACTATAGTAAGCTTTTTTTTTTTTTTATATATATAGCATCCTATTACTTGCAGAGTTGCAGGTCAAGTAGTCTGAGAAGCCTTAGAAATTGTCATCTATCAATGGACAACAGACTTGCCGAAGCAATTGCGAAGCTTCCATTACTTGAAGAACTTGACATCACATTCGGCACATCCTTGTCTGGAAAGTCTCTGAAAGTTGTAGGACAGTCTTGTCCTAATCTGAAGACGCTGAAGCTAAACCGCGATCTAAGCATGTGTCCTCGTGACCTGAGGGATGATGATGCTCTAGCTATAGCTGAAACGATGCCTGGACTTCGCTTCCTCCAGCTTCTTGGAAGCTCATTATCAGACTTTGGTTTAAACGCCATTCTTGATTGTTGTCCGGATCTGGAACATCTTAATTTACGTTGGTGTCACAACATTAAACTTGCCGGAGATCTGGAGAAGCGATGTTCGGAGAGGATCAAAGTTTTGAGACGACCTCGTGACTCGGCTGATGATTTCCCATATGCATATGCGTATTCATCTGGTGATTCATATGATGATTATGACCCTGAAGACTTTGATTATGATTTTTGACGATGGTCCCTACTTTGATGGTAGATTTAGTAGTTACATGCGTTTCTAGTTTCTTTTTATCTTTTGATTATTTCTCAAGTGCTTTTGTGAAGCTCTTTTTTTATTATATTTCATAACTCAAGAAAATGTTATTGTTTCATCTACCTTTTGACTTTTGAGTAAAAGGTTGTGAGTTTATTCTGCAACTTTAAAGGCCTTTTGCCAGTCAAAGTTTCCAAATTTTTTTTAAATGCTTTTTACGTCACCATACAATAAATAATGGCAATGATAAAAGCAACGTTCATGCAATAATACTTTCACTCTATGGTCCTGATCTGCTTCAGGTTCCACTATTTGGTAGCGTTGTAGATCAGAGAGACTCTACGAAAACTAATGAGGTTTAGGAACAAATCCATCAACCGAAAAGTTCCGTGTTGCTGAAGGAATGGCCAAACGCACACCATCAAGCTCTGGTCTTGCAATTACTTGGTATTCCAGCCGTGATTTGTAACATTTATTAGAAACATGGGATACTTTTTTTATCAAGGAAAAAGTAACAGATGAAACTTTATTCTTTTCTTTCTTTCACTCCAACAATCCATGATGAATCTCCACAATTTTCAAGAAAGATTCTTTACTAATCTCTTCTTACTTGACAAAATCTGTCACCATATTAACAAGATAGTGAAGCAAATAGGTAACTGAGAAAGATAAAGAGACGTAAGCCCTGTGTCTGAGATTAATATCTTGATGAAGCAAAAGCTTTTCTCAGACAAGCTTACTTGTCCAAGAAATGAACACTAGTAGTGGTGACTGCGCTTTTGAGATTCGGTGTGTTAATCTTCACAACACTCTCTTCTGAGTATGAATGGAAGCAACTCACCACCTTAAGTCTCTGAAGCCTTTTACCAGAAACCTCTAACCTATCAAGCTGTAGAAAGTTCTTTATAGTAAATTCTTGGAGAAGACGGCAACTAATAATACTAAGTGCCTTGAGTCTGTAACAATTTCACTAGAAGAGGAAAGTTTGGATCTGTGAAGAAATCTGAGATAAAAGGTTGATTTAAGCTTTAAGGCCCTTTTGAACTGTTAGTGAATTCAATGTCAAGATCTTGAACTTAAGTGATTGGAGTTTGATGACAAAGTGATCTGAGATTGTTAGTTATTCTAAATGGTTGGCTTCAAGTTATTGGAATGCTTGGAAAAGATATTTTGCATCTATTGATCTTTTTCTTCTCAAAGATTATATCATGTTCTAACTCTTGCACGCAACTATCTGCAGTTTAAGTCATCTGTGAAGCCTTAGACTTGCAATGTGCGATCGTATAACAGACTACGTATTTGCTGACGCTCTCATTTCTTGGGTGTCTCGAGGTTACATACTTTTAATTGTCAACAAATTCATTGAACGTTGTAGGCAAGTGCAATGTTTTGAAAACGTGACCGGACACGTTGGACCGGTTCAACTAGAACCGAGTTTTTTTATATATATTTTTAAATTAAATATATATTAATCATATATTTACTTTTATAAAATTAAAAAGTAATTCTATATATACTATATTCTTTTTCTCTCTATTAACTAAGAAACAAACAATAAGCATAAATCTAACAATATATATATATATATATATATATATATACGGTAAACAAATGAACATTATGTAAAATTTAAACAGATTAAAATCAAACTATTGATTGTTTAAATTATTTTATTTATTTATATTTATAACTAAATCTCTAATTTTATGAATATCTCAAAATAAAAATAATATATCAAAGCCAAAAATATACTTGTTTACATTTTTTATAAGAAAAACAGAATCAAGTAGAAATTCAATTAAATAGTTATGAAATATTAATACCATATTTTATCATTTTACTAATTATCAAGTCGGGTTCGGTTCCTTCTAGATGGATCAGGTACGATTATAATTAATGTCTGAAATCACCTTAAAATATTATTTTAAACTTAAAAGTGACAAAAATGTATTCAAAATATCTAAATTATTCACAAAACTAATTAACAACTAATTAAACTAATTAACAACTAATTAAACTAATTAAAAGTTACTCAAAATAACAAGTAAAATAAATAACAAAAATTATTAAACTACTCTAAAATATCTAAATTACCTTCACATATATAAAACATCGTATATAATAAAGTAAAGTTTTTTCTCTCCCTATGGGCAAAATATGACACTTATCTTTGTTGACATGAAGATAATAAGAGATGAACTCAGAATACATGTAGACGAAGAAGCGTGGGAAACAAGTGTGTCCGTACAAGTCATGACCTACCTTGGCTTTCAAGACAAGGAGATGTGTCTAATTAAATCCGTGTGACACTATTCTATTCAGAAGGTGCTTGCTTAAGGTTTAGGACCGTTGAATGACAAAGGAGAGAAAGGAGTCACGGGTGGAGTTAAGAGTTTGAAGCCTCATGACCGTTTGGTCATGTCACTTTCACCCGGCTGGACGAGCCAAGCTCTCTCTCTCTTGTACATTTGTTTATTGTTTCCACTCTTGTTTGCCTGCACATGTATCTCTCTATTTATGGGCTGTTCCCATAAACAAATCAGTCAAGGAAATCATTTCTCCTTCTATTCTTCTTGTCACACGAATTCTCTCTCAATCTCTCTCTAAATTCTTCAACTAAAACTACTTCTGATTCTTACATTTTATCATGGTATCAGAGCTTTCTTGCTCTTGAGACCACTCATTCTCTCTTATTCTTTGTGTTTCCGCAAATCTCTGATATTTTTCATTCTATTTTTGGCAAAGTCCTTGGTGTTCTTCAGCTGTTCTTACTTCCCAGCCTTAAAATTTGCCAAAAATGGAAACTCACACCAAAATTGTCATACCTGTAACTCTGAAGGGGCCAAACTATTTGTTATGGTCACGACTTGTCAAGAAAGCACTAGGAGGCAGAGGTCTTTGGGAGTGTGTTGCTGAGGGCAAGATAACAAAACAAACTATCCTAGGAGAGGATGGTAAGGAAGTGGTGGCTGCGGCTGAAGGAGATGGGAAGAAGGAGACTCAAGCGGATCTTATGGTTCTTTCAATCATCCAGAATAGCCTTGAACCATCCATCTTGGAGGCTTACTCCTACTGTGAAACCTCCAAGGAGCTGTGAGATACACTTCAGAAGGTCTATGGGAACATCTCCAACATCAGCCGTGTGTTTGAAGTCAAGAGGGCTATCAACACTCTCACCCAAGAGGACTCGGATTTCTCTAAGCATTTTGGGAAGTTTAGATCTCTGTGGGCAGAGCTGGAGATGCTGAGGCCATCTAGTGTTGATCCTGAAGTGTTAAATGAGAGAAAGGAACAAGACAAAGTGTTTGCTTTAGTACTATTTACTCTCAATCCAGTTTATGGTGGCTTAATCAAGCACATTATGAGGAGTGACAAGCTGCCATCCCTTGAGGAGCTGTGCGCTCAGATACAAAAAGAACAAGGCTCAGTGGAGCTCTTTGGAGGCAAAGGAGACCTCATTCTTGCAAACAAAGCTGATGGAGCAGACGACCATGTTGAGGGTGCTGCAAACAAGGGCTATTACAAACCACCCAGAGCTGATAAAAAGGTGTGGGAGTGTGATCATTGCAAGAAGAAGGGACATGGCAGGGACAAGTGCTGGATTCTCCACCCACATCTCAAGCCACAGAAGTTCAGAAATGATGCAAGGGCTAACTTCTCTGGTGATGTAGGCGAACCATCTACTCCACGGGTCACTAGGAATGCTGGTGAGGGAAAGGATGAGACCATCAAGAAGTCTGACCTTGAGGCACTCATCAAAGCCCTAAAAGAGTCTGGTAACACACTCGGTTTCTCTCTAAATGCATCATATAAATTGTCTAGAACACCTAGTGCTCTAACCACAAATATGAATGCATTTGATATGGT